CTCCGGGCGGCTCCGGGCGGCTCCGGGCGGCTCCGGGCGGCTCCGCTTCTCGCCCCGCGCCCCCGGCTGCCCTCCCTCCGTCCCTCCTCACGGCTCCTTCTCCCGCACGGCTCCTTCTCCCGCGGGTCTCCCGGCGGGGCCCGGGGGTTGGAGGCACCGCTCGGCCCCAGGGCTGGGAGCCCCGGGAGGGCGGCGGGAAGAGGCACGGGCGGGGACAGCGCGGACGGGACAGCGGGGATGGGACAGCGGGGATGGGACAGCGCGGATGGGACAGCGGGGACGGGATAGTGCGGATGGGACAGCGGGGATGGGACAGCGGGGATGGGACAGCGCGGATGGGACAGCGTGGATGGGACAGCGGGGATGGGACAGTGCAGACGGGACAGCGGGGATGGGACAGCGCGGATGGGACAGCGGGGATGGGACAGCGCGGATGGGACAGTGCGGATGGGACAGTGCGGACGGGACAGTGCGGATGGGACAGTGCGGATGGGACGCCTGGTGTGAATGAGCAGCCACTTGTTTGCTGGCTGGGGAGCGCTGGGTGCTGCCAGTGCCGCTGACACTTCCTTTGGGTTTGAGCGCAGAAAATGGGAAAATCAACAAAGCTGGTACAGAAAGATTTGGTACAGGAGAATATGATGAGACAAGTATGTTTTAATTTTTGTTGTTCTCCTTTTCTCCTCACTATATAGTGTATACATGCTGCTTTTCTTTTTAACATCCCACTACTCTAAACTTATATTTCTGTGTTAAAAGTATTTCTTAGGTAGAGTTCTGCCCCAGGTTTTGTTAAAATAAAGTTATTTTATCACTTTTCAACTACATTCAAAGTATATTCAGTTGTTGTTTGTCATTTTGCCTTTGGAGCTTGTTATCCCATTGCTCTTGCCACTGGATAGAAACCACAACTTGGTTTCCCAATATTCATTATTACTTATTTACATTATTTGCAGAATTCGGAAATGTAATTCCTCCATTCCTCAGTTCCCAGTCTGAAAATTCAAGGTGCTAACTTTAAGCACCAAATTCTACAGAGAAGAGAGAATTTTGCACCTACCCAGTGAATCAATAGGCCTTTGCATAAAAATACAGACATCTGTAGAAATTTAAATGTATGTCTTCTTGTCAATATGGATTCCTCTAAAAGTTTTAGCTACAAGCTAACTCTTAGGTGCCCTCAACTCTTCAATGCAGAATCACTTAGTATTCCAAACACTAGAGTAAACAAGTAAAGTGAGCAACTAAGGTAATAACTGTCAGTTTAAGGAACTGCATAAGCTACAGTGCCCTGCACTCTAAAATCATATAGGACAGTTTGTTTCATGTAGGTTTCTGGCAGTGTACCCCCTCTGTACTGCTGAGGAATTGAAGACCCATCCATAATATGTCATTAGAGCTAAAGAAGCCATTTCTTTGGGTGAAGTGCCTTAAATCATAGATCATGCTATTTATCTTGCAAAAACATCATCTCCTATTTTTGGGGCCAGTTTCCAGGTAGGTTCAAAATTAGCAGCAGTTTGAAATACTCCCTAAAAAGTAGCAGGAAGGCTATGCAATCAGTCCTGTTTTGACTGTTTCAGACACTGGTCTTTGAAAACTATCTGAATATGAGGAAGAGAGCACAGAGACTTTGTGCTGTGAATCCTAGTCAGATGAGCAAATATTCTGTTGTGTAAGAACCTAAAAAATACATATTTTTTTAATCCAGCAAAATATTTTTTTTTATTCTAGCAAAATACCTTAATAAATCTGTGGGTTTATAATTTTGTATTGTTTTATATATGCAGTCATTTTGCCCTGTAAGATATTTGGCAACTTTTTTTTCTGTCATCTGAATAAATCCTGAGTAATGACATTTGGAGACAGTCCTAGAAGTAAAATGTTGTCATAATAAGCCATAATTGTCCCTTTGGACAGAGCCACAGCACATACCTCAAGGTCAAGAGGAGCTGTTCCTATCAGTGTCCTCAAGGCTGATGAACAGACACAGCCTAGGAGTGTTTCAGGCTGGAAATCACCACCAGTCCTGCACAGATCTGAGAACTGCCAGGAATATGCACAATTGAGGAAAGATTAGCACCAGCTATAATAAGCACATGTGGCCTCTTTTTTGTCTCATAGGCACACTAGATGTTGTGGCACATGTCAGTTATAAAGTATTAAATGTTGCTTCATATTTATTGACAGCAGCATTATTATATCACTAGCAAATAATTTCCAGAAGGGATGGCATCATCTCTAAACAGTAAACAGCTCTTTGAGGGTATCAAGAGGGGGATTTGATATATAATTTCTTATTCTAAAATGTATCATTGGAAAAATTTAATTTCTTCTGATAGAGTCCCGAAGCAATATCTCATGCCTCTTGCAAATGATGTTCAAGGGATTAAACAATGCTGGAAATCACTCAAATTCCACATGAACTTACCTGAACATCAGGGAGTGAAAAAAAGGTATTTTGTCAGAGAGATGCTGTGTTCTTCAACAACTAAAGAAAACACATCAGGTGTTCAGCAGGTAGTTTAATAAGGCCTGAAATCAGTGACTGAAACTTAATTTAATAGAAAATAAAGACACATGATTGCAAATTAGAGATAGTCTTACCATGGGGATATTAATGAAAAAGCTAAAATTCAGCTGATTTATCCTTTCTTAATAAGGCAATTTAATTTTCTACTGATAAGTCACAGACTGCTTTAAAATTCTTTGCCTTGAAACCTCCAGAATTTTTTAATGTAATTAGCAGGCTCAATGCACTCAGGAAAGCAGATAAAGACATACATGTGGGGGTTACTTTCAAGAAATTATGCATCTGTGAAGTAAAAATAAAGAGGGTGAAGAGTACTGTATTTATAAAATAAAATCACATTTATTATCTGACAGTTGTGTAGTTGTTGAATCTCTTTCACACACTCTATTAATAGGAATTCCTAAACAGCCTAACGTGGTGAGATTTCATGTGAATAAAATGATGTTTTCTCTGAATTTTTTACTGTCTTCCTTTCTGTAATTTATTCTGGATCTCAGAACTGCAGCAATTTCTATATATCCATGTACCCATGTCATATATAGCTATGGTTGCTGTTATAATACTGAGGTAAAACCAATGCAAATTATGCCACACTGAAACTTTGAACATTTAAATTTAAATTTCTAGTTGCAAAATGGAAGAAAAGCTTTGTTCTGCTAAAATTTAATTTGATAGCAAATGTGAATCTATAGAAAAACTATAGTAAATTATATTTTTCAAATATATATTTAAAGGAAAAGGGTCAGTACAATATCTACTGGTTTAAATAGTCATTATATTCTGTTTTTACAGTGTTGTTCATTTACTTCACATGTATATCTACTGTCCAGACTACTGATTGTCTACACTTGAGGGAGCAATGTATTCATGCTGGAAACAGATGTGAAAGTGTCTGGAATGTGGTTGAAGATGCCTGCAATATTTCAGGTAATTCTTTATGGTGTACATAGCTTAATTTTGAATTGCTGTATGGTTGCATATTCATAGTTTATTACAATATTGCTGTGGTAATTGAATGAAGTCAGTGAGATTTCAAAGAGAAAAAATATGGCAAAAGAGCTTCTGAAATCCTTTTCAATGGCCAATGTTACTTGTAGTAATAATCACACTGTCTCTTCAAGAAAGTGATAAATTATATTTCTGAACTATGAACAAAGTCAGAGCCTAAATCAACTCAAGAAGTCTGAATTGAGTCTGAATTTAGTAGAAATTAGGGTCTTGTGGGATATGTTAAATAAAGCCTTTGTGCAACTGGAAAAGAAGTTCCAACTTTGTTTTACACAATTTGGAGGAGTTGATCTGTCCCCTCCCTTGCAGTGCTCAAGGCCAGATTGGATGGGGCTTTGAGAAACCTGGTCTAGTGGGAGATGTCCCTGCCAATGGCAGAGGGGTTGAAGGTCCCTTAATTAAGAGTTCTATAATCTAACATGATACCCAAAACAATGTAGTAACTTAGAGTAATGTTTAATTCTTGTACTAGAATAAGAAACAGATAAAACATTCACCTCTGTTGTGAGCTACTTGAATGAATGCCTCTGTCTGTCTGATCTGTTGCATGTATTTGATGTCCCAAATGTCCTAAGTTACAAGAAAATATTTAAAATAATTAGAGTAGAAAATTGTCTTAGGGGTCTTTCTTAGTGTCTTCTTTTCCAGACACTTATCTACTTTGCATAGGATGGCTGAATACTTTTAAGAACAGGTGAAGTAAATGAAAAATACATGATAATATAACAGTTAGTTCCCAAAGCAGCTGAGTTTCGGCCCATGTTCTGTTGTGATGTGAAACAGTTTCAAAAGATATGGCTGCTGTTTAGGAAAAAAAAATATTGGAATATGCAGTACTTTCTGTCTCAAGTGCCCTAAAAATGAGCTCTCTAGAATCAAAACAGAACAAGCTGAATTTGTTTCTCTCACATGATTCATGAACACATTAGCATCAGGACTACTTCCCACAAAGATATATATTTGTGCAGTAGCCTGTTAATCTTAATACCCTGCAGCCAGATGGAGTGGGACACATGATTACTTCTGTGGCCCCCCTTTGGATGTATGACACTGTCCCATAATATGACATTTGTCTCTCTTATTGTCCTATGTACTTATTCACTGATATTAATGATATTTGTAACTGGGCCAGAGAAACCTTCCAGAAATAATTATTCTTGTGATTGATTGTTTGGATTTGCATTTATAGGTTTCCTTAGGATAACAGCTTTTGGCAAGGACTCTCCAGCATTGCAGGGCACTCGGATATTGTGTCAGGTCTAGAACAAATTATACTTAATGTGCTTGTTAGGTACCATGATCCCAGAGCATGTAAATCCAGTCAGACAGCTGATGGTACCTCTCAGACAGCCCAAGAAACAGTGATAGAAAACCTACCAGCAGCATAATTAGTAAGAATAACATTATGCTGTCTGTCATGTGCAGGTCTAGAAACTTCATGGATGAGCTGTAGGAATGGGAAATGTCCTTTGAGCGCAAACATGTTACTTGGAGGCAATAGACAAGGGGGTAAATATTGTTTTGTTAGCTTCTTTATGCAAAACCTAACAACAAATTATAATTAAACTCCTTTGGGGTACGAGTTCAGTAAATCAGTCCGTCAGACTGTAACCTCAAAGTCAAATGTGTACATTATCAAGACCTCCATCTTTTGCTCTTCAGTGCAGGTCTGGGAACACTCTCCAAGCTACTACCTAAGTCACTCCTTTTCCTGTCAAATTTTCCATCACTTCTTCCCCACTACTCCAGCAGCATTTCCAGAGTCTCAGTTTATAATCTTCAGGGTCTAATCCTTCTTTTACCTCTCTGGCCAAAATATGGTGGAAATTAAAAAACAAACAAACAAACAAACAAACAAAAAACAGAGTGTGAAAATGTCTAAGAATCAGCTTCCAGATCAGGATAGAAAAGATAGAAATATTACATTTTGATGAAATAAAATTTTTGTTTTTGAAAACATCAAAAGATTTTCAGCACTGCAGAATGAAGACTTTTAGGTTTGAGCTTTTATGGTCTCTTTGTAGGATTGTTTATTTGTTTGTTTTCCTTCTGTTATTACAGTGTGAAAAAAAAAAGACATTTCTGAACTCTGATTTAACCATAAGTATTAATTTTCTTAATTTCTGTGAATGGGAAACAGAAAAAGCTTTTGAAAGAAAAAAACAACTCAGATCACTTAAATTTTAAGGAATCACATTCTGCATTAGGTCTGGATGAGTTTATTTTTCTTAGAATAACAGACTCATTGAGGTTAGAGGGATCTCTGGAGATCCATCCAAACTGTGGTCTCACCAGTGCTAGAGAAGAAAACTTCACACCATAGTCTTCAAATTCAATTCCCACTGAGATGACTTTTGCTAATTAAGCAAAAGCAGATTATCACTCTGGGAGTGTTAGCTTCTACTCTGTCATGCTTCTATCTCTGGCCCTGTGTACATGAATTATGTACCTATAAATAAGTCAAATTATGAATAATGGCCGCCAAACATTAGGTTGAGAGAGCAATTTTTTTTTTTTTAATGCCTTAGAAGCATGCGTATAAGATAAAATATATTACCTAGAACTAATCCCTGGTAAATCAACAATAATTGAAAACCAGTAATAAAATATTTTCTGCTGTTTGCCACAGCTGAATCAATACCATGTACAAACAGAGCAATACTGATAATAGCTTATTTCTACACAGTTTTCAAGAAGTCATGCAAGGGAGCCCCATAAATCTGATGTGCTTCCTGATTCTGTCTGTGCCCTTTGCATGTTGGCAGCCCCGCAGCCGTCAGGGGCTGACCCGGCACAGTGAGATAGATCCCAGCGCAGGGGCCACTGAGCACAGCCCCTGACTCCTGGCCATGACTGGTCAGTGCCATGGGGACAGGTGAGCTAAGTGAGGCTGGGGTGCTGCACAAAATATACTGGGGTATGGGGGTTGATTCTTCTGGTTCTACGCACCTTCACCCTTGAAGTCTACTCTGGACCTTGGAAAAGACAGTCATAAATTTTGTGGATAAGCTAATTTTTACACAAGTCCCTCCTGATCTTTATTTCTCTCTTTCTACTGGAATATGTTTTCCTGAAATTATTTTGTTATCTCTTGCTTATTTGATAAAATACAGAGTAGAATATCCACACACTCATCTTCATGGGCTATGTCACCAAATCCTTTCCATTCTATTTTTATGGTCAGGGAGTGTCCTATGTCTGTGACCTTCAATAAATCTCCTGAGTTCCTTGGCTTCTGGAATTGTGAAGGCTAAGGGTCAGGGGTCATGATCTACTTCTGGAAAAGCAGAAAGAAAGTTGAAGATGGGGTTAGAGAGATACAGGCAATCCCAGCCACCATCACCTCCTTCCCTGCTGATGCAAGAGGTGGAGTGGGAGCAGAGGCTGGGACCTGCAGCTCTTGCTGGCCTGTGACATTCTGCACTAGTAGTGCATTATTTGATATATCCCACAAACCCTCCTTAGAAGGGGATCAGGACAGTGATGTGAAGTCAGGAATAGCTGATTCTCATAACTTCAGGCACTGGTAAAATGCACTGTTTCTTCTTGCAGAGCTTTGCCTCCACTGCCTTCCACTGCTATTTGTGTCAACAACATACACGTGATTTTAAAATCACATCAAAAATTGCCCATGGCACTGGTGACACAGGACTTCTTGACACTTTGCAGTTTTACTGAGTGCAGAGTCTTTGTTGCTCCACACCTGTGGGGAAGCAGCAAGGCAGGAACCAGGCAGCACCATTCACAGGGCAGAGACATCAGCCTGTGTGCTCAGTAGACTGAAACCAATCCTCAGCTGCCCTGTGACCTGGCTGGATCTTGTGAGCCACATACTGCTTCTCTTACATATTGTCAGACATTTAATATCTATGAGGAAAAGAGAGGAAATGAGCTGGTTTGGGGACCTACGTACCTGTTTTGACAAGGTAGATCATGGCTTTCACAAAATAAAATTTATCTAAATTAAATTAATCTGTTTCACACATAACATACTTAAGTAATGTATAACTTTCTTAAGCAATAATAAATCATAGAATCATATACAATGTTAAGGGTTGTAAGGGACTTTGGAGATTATCTAGTCCCAATCCCCCCTGCCATGGTCTGGCAAACCTCCCACTTGACCAGGTTGCTCAAGGCCTGGCTTTGAGCATTGCCAGGGATGGGGCATTTGCAGCCTCTCTGAGAAACCTCTAATGTTTCATCATCCTCACAGTAAAAAAATGTCTTCCTAAAATCTAACCTAAATTTCTATTCTTTCAGTTCCTACCCATTAGTCCTTGTTCTGTCACTACAAAGAGCCTCTCTGGCTTCCGTTAAGCCCCTTCAGATACTGGAAAGTTGTTGTGAGGTCTCCACATGACTTTCTCTTCTCCAGTATGAACAGCCCCAACTTTCTCAGATTGTCCTTGAAGGGGAAGAGCTTCAGTCCTATTATCAGATTCCTGGCCCTTGTCTGGACTTGCTCCTGAAGGTCCATGTCCTTATGCTGGGGACACCAGAGCTGGATGGAGCACTCCAGGTGGGGCCTCATGAGAGCAGAGTAGAGCTGTAGAATCACCTCCTTTCACCTGCTGGCCACAGTGCTTTTGATGCAGCCCAGGGCACACTTGTCTTTGAGTGAGCACTCACTGTTGGCTCATGATGGCTTTTTCATCAACCTTTGCACCCAAGTCTTATTCTACAGGGCTGCTCTCAATCCCTTCTCTGCCCAACCTGCAGGTGTGTATGGGATTGCCATAACCCAGGTGTAGGACCTTGTCCTTTGCTTCATTGAACATCATAGGATTTGCACTGGCTCACTTCTCAAGCCTGTCAGGGTCCCTTCAGGGGCATCCCTTCCCTCCAAAGTGCCAACTGCACCACACAGCTTGGTGTCATCAGCAAATATGCTGAGGATGCACTCAATCCCACTATGATAATAATAATATTTTTGAAAAGCTTTTAGGTCATAGAGGGTTGATTGATTTACCTTTGTACCACAAACTAGCACACGCTCTTTATTTTCACCACACATATGTGGGAAATATGACCTGACATTCTGTGTCTTTACCATTGAGTCCAAGTGCACATGCAAACAGACTTGAAACTGGGCCAGCAAACTAAAGTTTCTGCACATTTATTTTTTTAATGTTAATTTCTCCCTCAATTTTATTCTAAAAGTCCTAAAAATCAGACTATTCTTGGGCTACTTTAGATTTGTTGTCATTCTTAAACTTAGGCAGTGATGTTGTTCTGTGGGGTCGAGGTTCAAGGGACTATCCAAATGGCATTTGTAGACCATCCTCACATGAGAGAGAGAATCTGACCCAGAGCAAGCATCTTCTCAGCCTGGGGTTCTCATCACCATTATCATGGGCTGGGTCTGCCTTCTGTGTCCTGTCCCTCACTATATCACAGGTTATGCCTCAAGCCTGCACTGTGTGTTTGTGTCCCTGTACCAGGCACCTTATTTCTACTACACAGGACCAAGATAATTCCCTCAGTTCAGGCTGTGCCCCTCCCACTCCTAGGCACCTTTTTAGTTTGGTCTCAGTGCCTTACCTGCATAAAATAAAAGGTGTGAGTTTAAGGTTTTATGTACTTAGTAAATGAGAGCAGATTTTCTGGCAACAGGTTAGATCAAATAAAAGGAGTCAATATTGTGTCCACAGCTTTATTATATTACTTTGAATATTATTTAAAATTTGTAAAACATGACAAATTGTCTTCTCTTGGCAAAGCATATTATTTTTGTTCTTCAATTGAATTCTTTTATGTAACCATATCCCTTAAGCATTCATAAGCATTAATGAAATTATAATTTTAATGGTGAGTTCTAGGTAATAGATGCAAGGCAGAAGACACTGTTGGATGTAATAGAGTAATCCAGATCCTGGCTGACGAATACCCAGAATTTAGAAACTGTGTCTGCACTACAGACGATATCTGTAGCATCACAACTTTACTTGGGAAACTGTGCAGCATTAATAAAGGTAACTAAACATAAAGTCGTAATTCTGAAGACCAAACCCAGTAATTTTGTAACCACCATTTTAAGTGGATTCAACTTTCCTTGCATAGTCTCAAGTCTGATAAATGCCCCAAAAAAATTACTCTTGTCTTTTCTGTGGTATTTGTGCTCCAGCAGGCATATGAAAGAAATGCCACAAACAAAATGCATGTGAGAAATTCAAATAGCTTCTAAAACTCTTGTTGAATCCACTGGAAAGCAAGAGTGAATACACAATGTGTGTTGAGGCTTACTCAGTGCCCAGGGAAATTTGAGAGCCAGTGGATCTAGGTTGTGTATATAGACACAGTCAGGAACTTCTGAATGGGAGGATGAGTGAATAGGGATGTACAGAAGTGTAGTTGTGTCACACTGTGTTGCAGGAGGACCTTCACTATATCTAGGAGAGGCTACTGGATGTGTGAAACCATCATAGTCACCACCTGCATAAAGCTGTACATAACATATAGAGTGCATATTTTAAAAATTCTATTGAAATCAATGGGCCGAGCTTCACTCAATTTACTTTTATTTTTCTGAGAACTCTTATCCCTGCAAAAAGTTTATCTCTGTAATTTAGAATTGTTTAGTACATGAAGAAGTTGCAGTTTCTGGTCCAAAGTCTTCTGGCATAATGAAAAAGCTGACACAAGAGAGCTAAAATTAGCTAGTAAATGAGAGTCAGCAAAATGAGTTTCAAAGTGATTCCTGGCACTGATCCATCACACCCTACTGGCATCACACAGCATTCATCATAGTACTAGACTAGACATTCATCTAGTACTAGACTATATGGCCTTATTGAAGAGAGAATAATAACATCCTGATCTGCCCCAAGCTCCTTGCCTCAAACAAGAAAGATGGATATCTGAAACCTTATGTGGATGTCAAGTTGCTTTTGCTTCTAGAAAAATGGTGTAATGTTATATTGTTTTGCCAATTGAGATGACATTTCTCACCGCTATAGAAACAAGTTTGGATGGATTTAGAGTAGTGCTGAGTTTAACTATAAAGGATAGCATATGGTGTTGCTAGGCACTTTCAGGAGTAATTCTCAGTCTAACTTAAATTGCTATTTTAGGTAATTAATCACCCATTTTCTGGAATTGTCATTCTCTCTTTAAAATGATGCATTTGCTTAAGGTGATAATCCATGATATGTCCAAATTGTAGGTAGTTAAAATTATGTGAGGTTAAAATTTTAGTGAGGATTTTTACTGCTGTTTTGCAGTTGAACTGTTAGAGTGGACTGTACTATACAGGTAACAGCACACAGTAGACATGAGGAAGTTTCATTAGTTTGTAAGACTCTGGAATGATTATGTGTTTGCACACAATTCAAAATTAAACTAGGGCTTTCACCTTTTGTAATGCATTAAGACAAGTACCCTTTTCCTGAGTTTTTGTGCTGTGTTGATGATCCTTCATCCATTCCACTTATTTTGTATCTATTTCTGCAGACCACCTGGAGTCTTTCTCAAGGTCGGACACTGAACTGAGCATTGGGCAGCACAGGAACCCTGAAGAGCAAGGGCGCTCCGAGGAGCTGGAGTGCGGCGTTGCGGAGCGGCGCTGCCGGGAGGAGCCGCGCTGCTCCGCCGCGCTCCGCGGCTTCCAGCGGGCGTGCCGGGCAGCTGCCGGCGCCTGCAGCGCCGCGCTGCCTGCGGACTGCGCGCTGGCCTGGAGAGAGCTGAGCAGAACAGCTCTGGGGACGTGCACGTGCTCAGAGCCGCTTCAGGCGAGATGCAGTCAGATCTGGAAGGGAATGTTTAACAACCCTTGCTTACAGTACTCTCAGGAGAACCAAGCCTCAGGAGCTAGTGACAATGATGGCATTGATGATGACTATAATGCTGATGTTGACGGTGAGAAAGATCTGGTTGCTGACACAGGTTAGTGCTCTTCCATGAATGCTTTTGTACATAGCAGTAATATCCACAGTCTATGAAAAAGGTTTTCTTGCCCATTTTCAATTCAGCATTGGAAACAAGATCATTTTAGGAGGTTTATGTATAAATAAATTCACAATCTGATAGAAAATTATAGCTTGAGTGCAAATACTGTAGTTCTTCAATGTGTTAATTTGATACAACCGGTCAGTTAAATTTGATAAATTTGACTGATTTGATAAATCAGTCAGTTCTAGTTTTTCACTATAACTAGAAACAGTGTAAGACCAACAAAAATAATTTTCTAATAGCAATTATCTGACAGCCTTGACTTTAGGTCATGTGAAGCAGTTAGTTGAACTTGGAAACTGATAAACACATTACAGCCCCTGGCTTTTATTTATTCACAAGAAATCTCACTTTATAATACACTGAGAAGCTTTAAAAAACTCTTGAGTTCATAGGATCTATAATTATGTAAAAAATGTTAGCATCAGACTTGGATAAACTGTGCTTTTACTCCAAAACTTATGAATAAATGCAATAGTGGGTTTAGAATTTGTTAGTGGGTTCTATTTGGTCAAACTAATTTATTTTATTCTTGTTTATTTTTACTCTTCACACTATGCCAGCAAGACAGCCAATATTTTAAAATTAAAAAGCTATTATTTACAATTTATGCCTGTACCTGTATCTTTTTCTTCTAGAAAATATTAGTATGGAAACAAAATTACAATGGGGTTTATCTACTCTCTCCAAACAAGGTAAGTCTGAATTTACTTATGAATCCTAATAAATAATTTCAGCTCCATTTCCAGAGAGTGTACAATGTCTGTTCAGATTAAAATTAATACTTTTCATTCAAATGCATGAGCAGGATGTTAATAGATCCAACATATCTTCAGTTACGGCACTGGGTAAAGAACCCAAAAATGTAACAGGTAGCAATCAAGTAATGCAAATGTAAATCAAGTAGCTATCATGATTCTGTCAGATTTACAGACACAAATCTTATCCCATAAGCATTTTAGGGTCTAGAATTTTCTAGATATCTTTGGAAGGTTTATTTCATGGTCTCAAAATACCTAAACTGATGTTAAAAGCACAAGAATGCCATTTGTATTCTCTTCTTCATTACTTATTATTTAAACTGGCATAAGACTACACATTGAAGATTTCAGCTGTTTCAGGAGGATTGCTTGTGAGCAGTGCAAGCAGTGCAAGAAAAAAGTATGCAGTTGCTCAACAGGCTTAAAAGAAGTAAGAAAGAAGGAAGAGCTGAATCAGAGTTTTGGGATTCAAGCTTGATTTACAGGAAATGTTGTAGACAGGATACCTACCAGTCATCACTTGAGAAAAATTTTCTTGAGATTTTATTTTAAAACCTGTCATTTGTTTTAGTGTACACAACAAACAGGAGCTGTTTGGATGTGAACAGGGAGTGTGTTGAAGATGAAGTGTGTAACAAACAGTTGTCCCTGTACCTTAAAGTTTGCTTAGTAAATAAGAAGTGCAACGTGGAAGGATGTCAAGCAGCCATAAGGTTCTTCTATAGAAACATGCCTTTTGAAGTTGCCCAAATGATGATATTTTGTGACTGCATCCAGCATGATGAATCCTGTCACAGAGCCAAAGAACTTCTCCATGGCAAGCCCTGTGCAGTTACAGTAGTTCCAACCCCATCATGTCTGAATGTAATCCACATGTGTGAAGAGAATGAATTCTGCAGGTGAGTGGAAGTATTTTGCCCACAAAGGTGCTTTTTAATAATGATTTAGTCAAACAATTTTTATTATACTCTATATATCCCAACTATAACAAAATTATTTTCTGCACTGTATATGTTGGGCTTGACATCTTCACAGATATTTGGATCAACTGTGGTAATTCCAGAAGTAATCCCACAAGTAAACTGAAGTGATTAATTTTCAGAAAGGTTTAGAATCTAATGTGGACTTTTCTTCTGCCTGTATCATGACACTTAACACCACTTCTGCTGAACAAACTATGCTATTGCATATTTTCATTACCACGCTCTTCAGATAACACCTGCCTGTCTGCACCTTTGCCCTGCAGCAATTTGCCCAAGTTGTGCAGCAGACCAGACAAAGTTTGTTTGGCAAAAGCAATTACCTTTCGAGGGCAGAGTCTGACCCTTTGTACCCAACAGCCATGCAACCATCTTGGCCTGTTCAAAAAACTTTTATCTTATTCTCTTCATCTCAAGGATACTCAGAAAAAGCTTTCAAAAATCTGGCCTGAAACATGATCAGACCACCAAACTCATGAAGGATAATGCCTTTTCAAAGTTTCTTTTTTTTTTTTTTTTTAATTTAAACATGCAACAGGATTACCCATATTTGTAGTTCAACTAAATTGCCTCCTTTTATGGATCGTCATTTGGCCCGCTTTGTTTTTCAGTGTAGTCACCTTGTGGGTTAGAGTTGAGTTTTACCTCAAAGTTGTGCTCAAATAAACCTTCAGTCAATAAACTAGGAGGACAAGAGATGGTTTTGGTTTCGTGCAGATTATTCAGATTGATGTCAGTGAGAATGGCCAAAGGGCTATAAATGTATATCTGTACATGTATAGACCTGTAATGTCATTATGGTTGAATTCCCATAATTTTGGGAACACTAATGTTTCCTGGCACTGAGAATAAATGCATATAATTAGCAAAATTAGTCTGTGAATTATGGCTAGTCAAATCCATAAATCAGGAGGTTAATGTCCATTAGAACAGTGGTGGTATCTGCTTTGAAACCTTTGCTTGTGGAATGAAAATATTTACAAAAATTTTCTAGCCAGTATTGCAACTGCCCATGCTTTTCCATCTGACATGCTTGTGGCTCCTACAGAATATCAATAGCAAATTAATAACCAATCTATAAGATTAAGGAAGAATATTTTAATAACTTAATGTAAAATATACTAGACTTTACATTTATTATCCCCTGAAATTTAATATGATATATTTTTAATTATATACATATTTTTAGTTAATTTATAATGCATATTTTCTATTGTCATATACAGTGCATTGAAGGCCCATTTTATTCCATTCTAACAACAAATAAATGGAAATAATTTGAGATTATTGAACTGGGTAACACATTTTTTCTTCATGCAATGTATCTCTGCTATCAATTTATCTTTAAGTTCACTGAGTTGTACTTTTTCTTGAGCCTTTGACATTTGTGTTAGCATTTGGGGGCCCAAGGGGTTGACATTGGATGTAGATTATTTAATGCAAAATAAGTTGAATGTTTATTCTTCCTTCACACTGCTCAAAAACGGATCCACTAGAACAGCACCTGGTGTGGTTTCATTGTGATGACTGGTCTAATTCCTGTATTCACATTTCTTCTCTGAGTCTCTGAGACTGTTGGAATTCACACTGTTTTTTCTGGACTCTGGGAAACAGGTACTGATTAGAAGTGCAGTTGCTTTTTCTCAACATCACAGCAGAATTTATGACAGCTATCACTGAATACAGTGACTTTTAAGGCTTAAGTGGTACTTTGGAAATACACTCTCTTTTAGTGGTGTTCATTAAATGTCTGTTTATGAAATCACATTTGTTAAAGTGTCATTGTGCACTTCTTTTGGTTTTCTTTATTTTTATTTTTCCCCTACCAGGAAAAAATACACAACTTTTCGGTCAAAGTGTTGGAGACGTGTGACAAAAAAATGTTATAATGATGAAGCTTGTCTTGAAACTTTACTCAAGGATGATATGTCCTGTTCTGCCAACGCTGATTGCAAAGCAGCCTATGTCAGCAGCTGGGGCACGATGCTGCACATGGAGTGCACCTGCCAAAATCTGCCTCCTGTGGAGCAGCCTTTGTGTGAGCTCTTCCATCACATGCTGCACAGCAAATCCTGCTTCAGTGACTTACGTGAGTAACACTTACAACTTTACAGAATAATTAGTTTTAAAGAGAATTAAGATCCTAATTTACATCAAATCTTTGCTATATCTTTGCTACCACTGGTTTCAGCAGGATCTGTAGCTGTGGGTTTTTTAAAACACAAATCAAAAGAAAATTTGGACATAGAGTTTTCTTCCTCTGGTGTGGGAAAAAATTATTATAGTAGTAAACCAATGAAATTGACTACAAGTCTCATTACTTGAATTTTCTGAAATAAATAAACAATTTCTAGAGTCCATATTAATATGCAGATTAGAAAAGTCCAAAGTCATCCTGTTCTTGGCTTAATGTAGTACTTTGGTACACTGTTTTTACTAATAATACAAAGTAGCATTTAGGGGTTTTTTATTTTCTTCTTCTATTCTGAATATTAGTAAACATTACACATATTTAGCAACAGAATTAATTCCGCAGAAAATAGCTTCAATTGCTTAAAGCAGGCTTTAGGGTTTGGTCTTCAGTAAAAACACTGGGTGTAGTTGAGATGAACTATAGGTACTTTCTCAGATCCAGTAATGACTTTCATGTGCTTCATTAGCTAAATATTTTTGTTAAATACACATGTGCTTGCCAAGCCTTTGGTTTAAAAATTTGTTAATGCAATAAATGGAAATATGGGAGGAAATATGAATGTTTTAGTCTGAATTTGTAAAGTGCCTTTAAAGCAAAGCTCCTCTTTTTCCCCACTTATTTTGTTATGTGTCACATCATGAGTGTATTTCTATCATAGGCTGGTTCCTGGTCTCCTGCAGTATAAACTGAACCTGAAGGTTCAGTGCTCTAGCTGCATGCAAACATCTGGTCCAACAACCAGATCAAAGACCAGAATAATCTCTTCTCAAATCTCTGACTTATCACACCAACTATTTTGCAATATAAATCCTTTTAGAAAATATTACTCACTAGTGCATCATGCCCTATACCAGCTATCTTCTACATGTATACTACAAAATTATATATATCCTTAAACTAACTTGGGAGAAGTAATGATACCTAAAGATTTCAATGAAAAGAAATGGTTCTTTCATAGTTTTACCTGATGGACAGTATTTTGAAAACATACATGGATTGCATGCATGCATTTCATTGAATGAAGCAGCTACTATTTTAGTTCTAGAAACCAAAACAGTACCACTGATTAGGGTGTTGTTTTTTTCATGTCACTCAAAGGCTACCCAAAAATTAAAATCAAGTTGCTGAAACTTTGCTCTTTAGTTAATCATTACTCAAATCCAGACTCTGAGAAAATATTAAAAATTTTATAACTCCCCTGGAAAAGTGATAACATAACACACTTAGACTTGAGACTTCTGGCAGTGATTTTGCTGATGAATATTATTTATTTGCTTGCTTTAGGGCTGAATTCAACAATCCAAATGAGTGAACACATCATTGTGTTAGTTATTTCTTAACCTACAAAGCAAAAAATTGTTCCTCATGTCTGAATAATCAAATAACTGCTGACGAGCTTTTGCCATTCCCTGAAGCAGTCTCAGGATAAAATGGTCTGAGGATTTTTGTGACTGAAACTCCCCCAATCTAATTGGGACTAAAGAAAAGAAGCTTACATTTCTTGTGTTGTGCAACAATTTCCTGGCTCTTAAACAAAAAGATCTTGGGGATCCATAGCCTTTGGTGGACCAGTACCTACTCTACAGACCACTTCCAGCTTATTGTTATCCTTGGTTTTTTTTCCTAGATGTCTAGTTGTAATGCAGCTAAGCATGATGGTGGTGATGATTATGGGTTTTCTTATACAGCATGTTTTTAATGCCATTCTCTGTGTGGCAGTACAGAGATGTGGAGTGACTGCTCTACAGTGCCCACCCAACCCCATGTGCTGACTTACTCCTCTGGCCTGGTGGTGAGCCTTGGCTGACTTTCGCTCTTACAATGGCAGTGATCTTTAACTGAAATATTTCTGAATAGGTGAATACTCAGGGTTTGAGAAAGGTGTCTTTGCCTCTAGAACTGGTGTGAACAGACCCACAGCAGTGTTCACACCATCTCATCTTCCTACCCTTGCATGGCACTGCCTCTGCTACAAGTGTTTGCTCTCGAGGCTGTGCTCACAGGACTGCATTTGCTGCAGACTCAGTAAAAGGCAAGAATTGTGACTGACTACTGCTGTGTGAAGTAGAAGCACAGTGTGGATCATTGCCAGTGTAAGATCCCTGTCTCAACAGAAATAAGAAAAACTGTCAGTCAGGGAAAGAAAAAAAATAGGTTTCCAAAATATTTTAAGTTTTGGTTGTACTTTTGGATCTCACAGAAGTAAACCCAAATTACAGGTACGTTTAGTCCATTGTTATTTGGACAGTCTTCCATGCTGCAAATGTGTGCCTTTCCTATATTACAAAAATTCCTCATCTTGCTGTTCATGTGAGTGAGCAGATGGTTTAGCCTTCTACTTGTATGATTTAGCTTTCTACTCTGTAAACTATACTACTTAAGCAAACCTCTTATTTTTCATTTCAACAGAAGATATGCATTTTCAGATATATTCATGAAATTATGCCCACTGAGAGGACAAACCTTTCAGAAAAAATTTGTTGGGGTCTAGCAATGCAGCTGGAGAATAAACTCTGCTTTGTGGAAATTACTTCAGACTACTACCCCTTTCTCACCACTTCCTTATTGGTTTGCTGGACCCAATTATTTTGATGGGCCTATTTTTAAAACAGTTTGTGTGAAAAGAGAATTTAAGCTCTTTTGTGGCAGAGAATATTTTCAAAGCATGCTTGTCATCCATAAGAAGAACTGAGGTGGAAGGACGAACTATTATGCACTCCTTCAATTTGCTCATCAAATATCAGTAAACAAGATTTTTAAATAGCTTCCTTTATAAAGTATGTGACTATTAGCAAAATATCAATCAATATTCACTTATATTAGTATTCTAAAGTAATATTATAAATGGATATTTTCTTTCCAATATCCAGGTCAAATTTCTATTCAAAAGATGGATTTTCACTGGGTAAATACAGAAATGCCAGGGGAAAAGATTTCCAGGGCACAGCTCCATTCTTCTGCAATTAATGGTGAGTTTGAGCAAGTCACCCCATGATTTCCACAGCACTGCTCTCCTTGGGTGGGTTCAGGCAAGTGGGCTCGACCTGTTGCTCCTTCATTTGGTCTGGAAATCCCCCTACCAGTTTGGCTTAGCTTATATATCCACAAAATAAATTTAATCAGACTAAACCAATTACACTGACAAATGGTTTTGAAATAGATGTCTCACAATCACTGGATTATAATTGGGGAAAATTAAGCTATTAAGCCTGCCAGAGCCTGATTCTCTGTACAGTCATTAGAGAGTAGTAGTCATAATGTGTAATACAAATTATTATCTTTGATGTCACACCTACTTCTATCTCTCTCGACTTTCTGTAGTAGTTACAACAACAAAATTAGAAGCCACAGTAAGTGGTCTGAGAAGGGGCTTATGTTACACTCCAACAGACTCTACCTTCTTACACAACAGAAGGGCACACAGTATCCCATGGGCTGAAAAACTACAACTGTTTTTATTTCCATGCATTTACAGTAAGAAATTAAACAACATAAAGTTAAAGGATATTGAATTAATATACAAATGTTTTCATTACTGAAATAATATTATTTCATATTTCTTTTTGAGGGGCCCAATTAGAGTGAGAACTCTAAAGAGCTTAATGCACAAATATCACCTCTAATGAGAATGATCTGTTCTACCTTGTGCAGGGCAGATTACAATTCTCCAGACTAATACTACAAATTAGTTCCCAGAACTGTTCCTACAGAACACCTTTAACTATGAAAAAAATAATTCAATCTTTGCATTCAATAGAAAATGCAGTGACTTCTAACCCCTCCATCCTTCAACTATTGCTGAAGTGGGCAACCTGTATAGGGGATAAAAAGGATATAAAAATGGATTAAGGGAATGGATTCCTGAGACCTGTGTGTGCATAACTAAGCATTTGGCTGTAGTGTTAGCATTAAAGTTACCCAGGAATCATGCATGTCATCCAAGTGCTCTGTGTAGCCAGAGAAGAAAGTCAGGAACCCTCAAAGGAAGAATAGTCCAATCTTTTTGGACTGCATTTGATGAAAGTATTTTCTCCTTGCCGATTACAAAGGGAGCCTGAATCCCTAGTTGGAACAAGACTCTAGTGGTTAAATAATGCAAGTCATAATACAAGAAACACTGCACTAAGTGAGAAAATGCAAAATATGAGATATTGCACCCCTGTGACTAGTTCTAACTGCAGACCCTTTCAGTGGGTAAAACGCATCTTACATTTCACTCAGAGATTCAGATAAATATTTGCAAGAAGCAGCCTGCACCCAGTTAATTCTGTTCATATTGAAGTCTGAATACTTTCCAAAAACCTTTCCTTGAAGTCTTAAAAGAACTTTGGATGGCTTTAGAAAAATAAAAAGATGTTGACCAGCCTAAACCATACAGTAAAATATTCTTTCTATTGTAGCTGTCATGTACATAAGATGGGAACTTTAAGCCATAAAAGTCTCATAGGAAGCCAGGTCAAGAAGAATTTGATTCAGGATATCTGCCTGATGGTGAAAACCACACTGCAAACTGTTTCATAAATCCCACTGCCAAAAATCTAACTCAGTGCCCTAGATTCATATGCTAATAAATGTGCATTACTCAGTCTGAAAAGGGAGTTATCATCTTCACAAAATATTTATCTTTAATAAAATCAAATGCCAAGAAGCATTCAGGGCATAGAGGCAAAACAGTTAAATTGTCAAGTGTGTGAAGGCTTTTGAAGATATTTGCTTATTAGCTATTTTCTGCTTGAAAAACACAAGATAAAATCTACTGATGTGTCTACATTAAAATCTCAGAAAAATCCTTTAATTAGTAATTGAAAGATACAAGGAACTCTTTCACCAGATGAAATGAATGGCCTTCCACAGATAAACACGTTCAGAAGAAACTCAGTCATCAGCTGATGTCTTCAGCTTTTTCTTAGGCTTATACTTTAAAATCTAGCTTACTGTTCAAAAAACCAGTTAGATTTCTCTATTCTACTCAGCAGCATTGCAAATCACTCCATTGGATAATTTTTGCTTTAATATAAGGAGTCTTTCACAATAAATAATAAATCTAAGCTTATATACATATATTTGAATATATTTGTAAATAAATAGAACCATGGAAGTTGAAAGATTATTATTCCATGTTTGGTGTAAAAAATGCGATACCAGGATTTTGTAAAAATCTGGAGTGAATTTAAACACATTCACACTCTCAGGAGGGAGTAGGTCAACAGAGTCATCTTCGGGCTGATACAACTCTATTAACAAGATGTGATGTGGGCAGAGTCAGAACCATATAAGTTAATAAGGCTTTTCCTGTAAGCTTGAATTTGATCTCATTTTGAAAACAGTATCAAAAAGTTATAAATCAAATAAGACTTCTCTAAACTTCTAATATGCCTACCTAATTATGCATCTTCAGCCTGGTTTTGGCTTTATCCTATGCAAATGATATCAATGACTTTACAGATCCAAATAATTTAAAAGATTGCTTCCTGCACTTTGGTTTGAAAAATGATTCGTGTGGGAAGATAAGGATTTATTTTCATCACCATGGAGCTTTAAGGCTAAGTTGTGGGTTGTTTATGGAAGAGAAAGCTAGAAATACAGAACACTTACCCTATTCTTGTGAGATACAATAAAATTTGACTTGATCCAAAACTGTTGAAATTTCATCTTAAATTGTAGTGTTATCATATATTTCCTGCTGAGGAGCAGAGTGTTTTGATAAACAAGTAATTGGCAGAGTTTATCTGTAAGTATACCAGCTGCTGTGGGAACTGAGATTAGTTCAGCTCCAGTGACTTTAATGTGTAAGGTATCAAACACTGTCAGTCTGACAGTTTTATAAATGTAGAAAAAAGCCCATGACAAGCTGCAGGTAGCCAAGAAACCTCTGAGCAGAGGCTGGGATTAATTTGTTCAATGAATATGCACTAGCTATACCTAAGCAGGTAGATCCACAATAGAGTAAGATTCACCAAAATCCCTCTTTGTTCCTGACGCAACTGAATCCAGCAATTTATCAAAAACGTAGCATTTTTTCAGCTTTTGTCAAAAAAATAGAAAAAAAAATTCACTTCAGTGTTTTGTTTGATTGAAATGAAGCACCTTTTACAAATTTAATAAGAAAAAGATCACAATGTTCTGTTGAAAATTTATTAGCCCATTTTTAACCATCCATGACTGTACAATATATAATCTGTTAGATATAATAATTTTTGTGGTGACATACTTTAAAAGGTTCTATTTGCCTAAAATATATGTGAAAGTCACTTTCCACTTCAAAAAAAGTAAGAAACTGTTGCCCCTACAACTGCTCCTACACTTGTAAAAAGTTTTCAAAAATAGCTGCATGTACAATTCAGACTCAGAAACTGAAAAAAGGGCCTACAAATTACTCTTTTGCTAAAACCCATCATATTACAAAAATGCTGTAACTTGAGAGCTAGACCAACTGCTGATGTAGTTTTTAATATACATTATTAGAAGTCCTTCTCTAAGATAGACCTCACCCCTCTTTCTTCAAAAATTCACCATAATAAGTATCTTTCAGTCAGTTACTGGATTAAATGGAATGTTCAAACCATTTGTGAAAACCGTGGTGGTTTTCATTTCACTGCTTTCATTTTCTTACGTTGGAAAACTTGAACTTTGGGTAGTTTTTTGAAAAAAGTGAGCACCATCCTACAATGAAAGCCAGGCAGGTCCAACACCAGCTCCTTGTTTTCATTGCTGTGGACAGCACAACTCTCTCTTTCCAGGGCTGCTCCAGCATCCACACCACCTGTGCTTGTATTATAAGATATGCTACACCTGCTGCATGTAGGCACTGTACACAGAAATGTCTCATTTAGGGTTTGTGAGTGCATGTACATAAGACATGGAACCTACAGGAACTGATAACTTATTCAGAGACCAGAAGATGGCCTTCTCACAGCCCAGATAAGGGGCTCAGTGATGAGTCCAGAGATCCATCCCTTCCTTAGGGAATGCTTCACTGGCTTTGTAAGACAGAGAAGCTCAGGAGCAGCTAGGGCCCTCTGCATTTGAATTCCTATATGAACAAAGTTTATCTGATTGTACAAAGACAACAGAATCAGTGCAACAGGAAAGTCACAGAAAGGTCTCATGTTTTATGCCTGTGGCTCTGCATTTGTGCATTGGTACGCCTCTTCCATCCCGTGTCCAGGGCTTATATTTCACTCTCAACTGAAATGTTTCCTTCAGATATATGATCAAAACCAATAAAGAAAAAGAATTACTCCTCCTTTGGAAAAGAAAATTTGTAACAGCTCCGTGTTTCAACAGTTGGAATTTTTAGCACATAAGCCACCTAAGTGACTTTTTGGTGAGAAACCTAATAGAAAAAGGAAACTCCAGGGGTATGGGGCCCAGAAAAACACTGTTAAATCCCATTTTACGTTAATTTGTTTCTAGGTGAAGTACTGCTCCACACTGTAATTACAGTAATATCTGAAAAAGAAAAATAAGTCTAATTGATAAGTAAAAGCCAAGTCTGCTCTGATACACAGAATAAAATTAACATTTTAAAATCAATAGGGAGAATATTCCAAAATAAAAATCATATTAATGAGCTGCTCCCCTGTAGCAGAGTGAAAGATACTGCTATACATATGAAGTGCTATTGGAGCTGGTATTTACTAAAAGAAGTCTGAAAATTACATTGGACAGAATAGCAAAGGTAGAATTATTGCTACCACTGACATACAGGTCTTTCCCCTCCTTTTAATGACTTTTGTCAAAACTGATAGCTAATTTTGCTCATATGTGTATTATTTCCAATACAGATCTCAAATCTGATTCTTATTACTAAAATAGCAAATTTTTAATTTCTGTTTTCTGTTTTTATTTTTAGGTGAAACTGTCTACATTATTGCTTACTCCTCCTGCATAGCTCTTATCCTAGGAATAGTCCTGTTGACTCTCCTAAAGATCAGGTAATTTGATAGGGATATTAATCACTGGTTCTAGGAAATTGGAAAAACAGAAAATAAAACGTTTTGACTTAGTTAAAAGGTGGACATTATGATTGTCTTTAAAAACAGTCCAGCATGCCCCAGTGATGGAAAGAACTGACATTGTGGGTGTCAGCAGGGAAGAGTGAAATACGATATGTATCTACAATGCCCTCCATTCATGCAGAGATCCCAGGCTTTGGGAGGTTTCATTTCCTGTCCCATGGCAGGGGAAGGTGAAATCTGAATTCAAAAATTCTGTGAGACTATGTTCCTAGCCCCATAGCAGGCAGGGGTAATGCAAAAAGGAAATGAGAATATGCAGCATTATAGCATATTTAGAAACCAAATAGTGAATGCTGCTATTGTAGCTAATATTCTTGCCAAATGCCATTTTTGCTCATAGGAGTCTGTAAACAACACCCACTGTCCCTGCCATCCTTTCTTTTCCCCCCTCTCTCCTTCCCTCCCTCCCTCCCTCCCTCCCTCCCTCTATATGAGAAACTGCCCATACACCAATGCTTGGTAAGAAAACAGAAATGTGCATTCACTTAGTTGAATGAACATGGCCTTTTCTTAAATGGTACATTTTCTTGGACCAAATTAAATGGCCAGATTTCAAGAATTACACTGTCAGATGATTGGTAACAGAACATGATGTAGCAGGAGCTATATATAGTGGGAGGGATATTGAGTCAAATTGCATTATTAAATTCCGAGGCAGATCAAAGAAAAATTGTAGAAAAATGCAAAAGGCAAGTCAAGGATATATGGGAACAGAGGCTTTCTCTTTAGGTTTGCAGTTACAGGAATATCAGCATATAAAGAAAATTCAGATTTAAAGAATACAGAAAATGGAAGAACAATGCATTAATAACAACAAAGGGGATTATTTTATACCACAGTGTTCATCATTGCCACTGATTTCAATTAAGCCAAAGTTCAAACCAAAAGCTGTATAGTTTATTGTTAAATACATGCACATTCTTTGTTTTCAGAGCCTGCAGAACAAAATATGAGTCAAGAAATTCCTCGCCAGACCATTCTTCTGAAACATTTATGGCCCATTATAAAAGTCACAGATGAACTACTCTGTTGCTTATGCTTTTTAAGGCTATTCCTGAAAGCCAGCCTGTTGTACATATGTGATAATAAAATATATATTAGAAAAACTTCTATAAATTATGAAATTTTGTAGTTAAGCATGCAAAATATTTTTTATATTTATTAGCTTATTTTTAGCCTTTCAAAGGCTGAAAAGAAGGGGTAAAACTGTGCTCTCTCTTATTTGTGTAGATTCACAGATCTGTCCTCAGCTGTACATTTCCTACATTTTTAGATGCACATGACACTGGTATAAATGCTTTATCAACAATGGCAATCTTTGAAACCCACCCTTTCGGATCTCAACTCATGTGGAAGAAATAAAAAAAAATCGACTCAGAAACATTATAGAGACCTGATAAAGAGCACATATGTGGCAGTTTTGTATACCTGGCTCTGAGGTACCAAGTACCCAAAGCAGCCGTCACAGCAAAGCTGCCTGTAGTTTGATGTGTAGGAGGAGATCAGGATTACAATCCCTTAAGAACTAAAATGACTCTCTGGAATAGTGCTTTGACTCCAAAATGTTGTTGCTGAAAATGTTTTTTATTTCTCCTCCAATATGCTTCTAAATGAAATGAGTGGGGTTTGTCACTTTGAATACAATAGCTTTAGAAAGCATTTTTATGTCTGAATGCCCAGTGGAGAAAGTCACTTGCTTGGGGCTGAAGTGCCTGCTTCTCCAGAGAGAAGCCATGACCCATCTCACCATCTGTGTTTCCTATTCATTGTCTCTAGGCAAGACACGAAGTGCCTAATTGTCCTCTTGCACTGTACTGGGAGTCATGGTCCCTAAACACCATTCTGGATCCCATTTTGTGGCTATGAGCTCTGGATTTCTCTCTATAGCTGAGTTGTTTTTCTAGATTTAAGCTTCTATGTACTACCAGTGAGTTGTCTTTGTTAAATCTTTGTAACAATCTAGTTTTGGTGACCACAAAATAATGGACTGCTGTTTCTTATTCAGCTACTACCATGAATAGCACATGTACTGTCTTGTTATAATAGCATTTGATTAATTAAATTTATTTTGGATGTGATTAGTTTTAATTTTGTTTGAATTATCACTAAATGTAACTCACCTCCAGTTTTGATCATGGGACCCATGATTTGGGGCCATATCTAGTGCTAGATGACAGATCTAGGACTGGAAATTGATGTGATCAGAAAAGCAAAGATCTCTACTCTTCAATGGGGCTCTTTCTTCTGGCTTTGGTTGCTTGCAAAAATATTACTGTAGAGCAAAAACTTAAGTATGCAGTTCTGTTGGGGAGAGGCTTAGAAATCTTAAACAATTACTTCAACATGGATTTTCTCTGTCTTTATTATCTGCATAAACCAAAGAAAGTCCGTTTTGTTTTGCAATCAAATGTTCTGTCATTACTAAATCAGAATTTGGACAAAAATACAGAAAAACAGAGAAGTGAAGTTTGTTAATCAAAAAGATCTCCTTCAACAGTTCAGCAATTTTCAGCATCTGGCTTAACTCTCACCAAAGTGCTAAATTCATATTCTTCATTTTAAAACTGTGAAGTTTTAAAACTGAAGATACTGTTGAGAATATGTTAGGAAAAAAATCATTCTACAGGAAATGCATTTTTCACAGGAAATCTGTGCTGGTTTTCAGTCTGACTTTGAAAACCAGTGAACTCTCCATGTTACAAAATTTGAGGAGACCCATTTAAATTCAGATTTTACTAAACCTCAATCAACAACAATAAAAAATTACCTTCTGTCTTAGAAACTTTTTATTAAAATTAGCTTATATTTAGACACTAGAAACCCAACTCAAATATGTGCTTAGACACACACACACAAACAAGTACAAAAAATGCATTTGAAACTGAGAGTATGTTACTCTGAGAGACACCAAGATATTTAATGACTATTGTGTTCATCTGAAATTTTACAGGCTCTCTCTTTTAAGAGATGACTTAGATGCTTAATGGGAAAAGTACATTCCCTCCATTCCACATGTACAAAGTAGTCTGTCAATTGTATCTAAGTGTTAGTTATTAAATAAAGGAATTTCTGCTGGGATGATGTGTATTCCTGTGATCCTGATTATACTCTAACTGCTTCACAGTTTTCTAAACAGAGAATCATAGAATCAGTTAGTTTGGAAAAGACCTTTAAGATCTTTTAGTATGACCATGATGGAAGAAAAAGCAGTATTTTGTAAGAGCTTCATTATTAAAATATTTTCCCCTGAAGTATGACATCTGCATCCAATCCCCAGATGAGGAAAGTTAAATCTCATTGATAACAGGATTCCCAGGACACACGTCATTTTGGGTGAGGATGTAGCATTCATCCTCTTTCCACTGGAGCTGGGACATCCCAAAGTGAAGAAATGAAGGCTGATTAGGCTAGAGGAAGAAAGCATGGATTTTTGCCTTACAGCACTTTCATCTGAAAGAGAGAAGGCTGGGTTCCAGTATTTACTTTGAAGATTGTCTATGCATTTTATCTAACAATTGTTTCAAATTAAATGTGTGAAGATTTTTTGGGACAAGTACACAGGCTAGCTCTTCCTTATGCAGTGTGAAGCTATAAGGCTATAAACCCCAAGTTTATACTTCTATTATACCATAGTGAGTCTTGAATCCTTCAAAAGGAACATTTTTCCCTGGCTGTCTCACCTCCTTATGTGGTCAAAAGAATGAGTTACTTGGATAGGCATGGGCTCAGCCTTTTGAGGCTGTTATGGGAGTCACATCCCAGTGTTCTGAGCTAGATACCAGACCAAGCTAGGGACAGAGAAGATGGATGGAAGCAGCACCAACACCAGAAGATGGTGCCATAAAACAGAGGACATCATTCAGTTATTTTTAAAAATGAGTGTGGTTGTCTTTCCACCAAGGTAATATAGTAATATATAGTATTTCTTATATATATATATATATATATATATATATATATATAATATATATAATATATATAATATATTATCTATATAATATTATATGTATATAATTACTATATAATATATAGTAATTCTTATGTTCAAGCTAGTGAAGATAACTAACTGCAGGTCATGTTGAGACACTTCAAGAGTAGCTTGGGGTAGGGAATTTTGCTGTTGATTTTGCCAAGGAAGTTCCCTCACCAGCATTTTGATGTTTCAGACCACATGCTGAAATCATTCAGTCTCCCATGAAGTGTGTAGGGAATTTTAGACTCACTTAGCATCACTTAGACAGCACAGATTTCTGTCCTGCATTGGAACATCTGAAGTTAGATAATGCCTCATTGAAATTTTGGAACTCCTACCTCCATTCCTGTCTGTAGCTTTTAATGTTTAGTTAATGGAGGAAAGAAATGTTTTTCCAGTAACTTAAAAGAGATTTGTCTGCTATAAAAACACACAGGAACACCCGATTAAAAGGCAATCCTAAGAAAAAGCACTCAAAATGGATTACATGGTAACAAAGTCAACACAGGCATACACGTCAGTGACAGCTTATATTTGCAAATGCTGTATGCATGAGCTAGTTAGTCAGAGCTGCTGAATCTGGCATAATACATGAGCATATCAGTTTCGATAAACAGTGAGACAGATTTTATTTCAGCTTTAACACCACATATTGCAAAATCACAAGTGCATTTAACCAGGCAGATACATGAAAATTCCTTGATAAACATATCATCCCTTTGACATTGGTTTCAAAGGACTAAGTTGACTTTGGCTGTAGTCCTTCTGCCTGCTGTGTTATTGCAGCAATGAAGATCAACACTGCATTACAGCAGGACTGTAGAGAAAAATAATCTTTAAAAATATAATATAACAAAAGAAAAGCATTGATCAGCAAGTCAAAAACTGGAATTCATTTACTTCTTGCCACTCTTATACCTGTTAAGCCACTTTTCTAGATACTTCACAATCAGTGAAGAGAACACAATCAGTGTCAGAGATCATAGAAAAAAATCAGTGGCAAAAAGTACTGATTTTCTGATATCACAGTAACTAAACAATATTTCTATCCCTTAAAACAAACTGAGTGAAAAAAATGGGCAGATCTTATACATCCACACTAACTCTTTGGATAAGTATTATTTCATTTCAACAACACTGATCCCAAACATAAGAATTTTATCTCACAGACTTGCAGTCTTCATTTTGTGACTCCTTAATACAATAATAAAAGTTTTATTAACTCAAATGACACTATTAAGAGAGGAAAATTAGCCAAAGACTCTCTGGACTTATTCACAACACTAGAATATTTAGTTCTTATTTCATAAACTCTGGTTATACACAAAAATGAGCCATTAAAGTGCTGGTCCAGTGCCAAGTTGCCCTAATACATAAAAATTTAAACTACAAAGTAAGCTGCTGCTGGAAGACATTAGAACTGTATGGGATCCATGTCATTGCTGTGTTTTGGAAGACACTGAAGAATGATTATGCTCATACTACTGGAACTGATCAACATTTCCTCCAACAAAGAACACCAGGCATGTCTTCAACAATGTAATATCTTGACTTATAATTTTTATAATGACACTGTGATAAGAACACCTGCTCATGGAAACCAAACACAACACCTGGATGCAAGCCCTCCACAGCCAGGGGGCTACTTTAGGGTGAAGTGACAGCAATGTATTCAGCTGGAGACAGTGATAGGGACTAAAAGAGCAGACATCACTAGTCGTGTGTCACTCTGAGTATAAACATAAAGGTTTAGGAAGTCAGAAGCAATGTAGAGCCTCATCCCATGTCTTGCTATGTTTTTGAAAGGACCTCAGTTATTTTATTATGTGCTGAATTCAATGCTGACTATGTGAGTGATGCACACTCATGGCACAGCTATTGGATTAGCCTTTGCTATTAAAAGCAATAGATGCTTATTTTGTGGAGCCAGAGATTACGTGTCAAAATGTTTTGCATAGTCAAAATTATGCCAGCCCAGGAAAGCAGAGCAGCAGCATTTTATAAACCTAAAAGAATGTCATTAGGCAGAACATAAGATGTCTTAAGATTCTCAGTCATACTACAACTAAACAAGGATTTTATAGGGACTACTCACCTGGACCCACAGACATAAATTCATCTCAGGTGCCAATTTTGGCACACAAACACTGGGTTGGGGTTTTCTTTTTTTTATTCTGGCTCTATGTTTCTTTCTCTCATAACAATCCTGACAAACAATCTATTTGTCTGTGACCTCCACCCTGGATTAGGATAACTCATGATGTGGTTGAAGCTGAACATGTGGGTAAAGAACAGGCTCCAGAAGTGACTGCTCATCTTTTACAATGCTCACATCATTACAGAATAACATACCTGCAATTAAGGCTCTCCACAAGTTTACAAGTAGTTTCTAAAACAGACCCAATAAAAAACTGAGACATTTTAGGTTGTTCATCCACATGATTTAATAGGTACCCTGTTTCACTGCATAGGGGGAATCAAGAGCCAACTGTCTGCAAACCAGACAGGCCAGATGGTAGGACCCTAGGATACACTGTGCACAGAGGCATAAAAATTGACACTATCTGTTCAGTTCCTTACTTGGCTGATAATAGAAGGCCTCACCACCACCTTCGAGTAAATAACCCTGCCATCCGTTACAGAGGCATTGACATTCTTTTCTTGGGATTTTTCTGGGCTTAGGAATTTTTAATTCCATTCTTCCCAGTGGCACAAATTCATCCAGATTTATGAGAAGGTGTATTCTTTTTCAATTCATAATCACAGGATAAGCTGAGATGGAAGGGACCCACAAGGATCATCAAGTCCAACTCCTGGCCCTGCACAGCACCATCCCCAAGAATCGCACCATGTGCCCGAGAGCATTGTCCAAACACTCCTTGAACTCTGTCAGGCTGTTTCTGTGACCTCTGCCCTGAGGAGCTGTTCCAGTGCCCAACAACCCTCTGCATGAAGAACATTTTTCTAATATCCAACCTAAACCTCCCCAATACAACTTCAGTCCATTCCCTCATGGTCCTGTCACAGGTGTGTATTTAATCTCCCCAGGCTGAGCAGCAAGCTCAGTCTCAGTTCAGTTGTTTAGTCTCACATTCAGGTTTGCATCACAACTGCTTTTTTTTCAAGGGCTGACTTCACTTGCAGTTTTTGAGAAGTTCAATATTGTTTATGTTTATATAAACATGCTTGCTCAGAGGGTCTTCCCCTTGGGTGAAAGAAAATTCATAAGGACCTACATGAAAACTGCATACTTCAGCTCAAAATGAGCCAATTCTGTGCCTACAGAGAAAATTAAACAGGAAAAATTTTTATTAAGTAGGAAAGTATTACAGTATGGTTAGTCACCTTCAGGGGTAAATTACACATAAATTAGGGAGTTTCTAAGATGTCAATTCTGGCACCACATTTAGGCTTAACTGTAGTGCTGCACTTTCCTTACCTCTTCATTGGGTCTGATCCATTGCAGACTTTCTAAGTCTGTGAATGGTTCAAGACCTGGTTTTATTTAAGTTCATATTTTGATATATGAGCTCTAGTGGCTGCTAAATAGCAAAGCCCCAGCTGAAACACGGGAAAAAAAAGGAAAGAGGTTTTTTGTGGTGATCCAACCATGCATCCAGGACAGGTCAAGAAAACCTTCAGGACTACTTGAAAGTCTTCTTACTAGACTCTTCAGAAAGACTATTTTGGAACGATAGGCAAGATATTTCTTGCCTCACCTGAACACATTTCTTTTTTTATCCTTTGATTTTTTACCATGAGAAAAGTAAACAAAGTAGCTTATATTGATTTTGACTATCATTATGGCATAAACGGAATAGGGGTATTATATCAAATTTATAGTTTTGTGTAGCCTGGAATTCAAAGACTGACTTTCTTAAACTATGCCAATTCTAACCTACACAAGTGGCTAAAAGATCTCAGAAAAATTCACTTTGGTATTTCAAAGGCAAACCATGACTCAGCTGTAACTTTGCAGACTTGAGTTCCAGACAAAAAAATTATTCAGCCTTTTCTTTTTTTTTTATGTGTTATCTTCCACTTTCTTTCATAATACCTTTTGACAAGATTTCTCATTTTTGAGGAAAATTGAAACTATGGATGA